GCTAAACCCGAACTAGTAGTGAAAGACAGCAGTGGTGGTAATCTTGCAGTTGGACAACTATCTGAAAGCCGAAAAAGAACAGCTTCTGATCCACCGCTAAGTTCATCACCTTGTGTCACTCAGTCATCGTTGGTGTTTTCATCCACAATGAAACAGATGCCCATCAACTCAAGTATCTTTTGCAATGACTATGATAGTATTGGTGCGTTTGAAAGGACGAAAGATATTGCTCAGTTTAGTGAGAATAAGCCAAGTGTAAACGAGAGAGTAATTGTTAAATTGACTTGCATGAATAAAGGCATTTCTAGTTTCAAGTTACTAATTGAATGTTATTATCTTTGGTGTAAATTACTCTGTTTCTACACTTGGTTGATGAGATATGCCGTGTGTTTGTTCGTCATCTATATTCTACGATACAATGACATGGGCGTGTTGCCGTTCAGATTTGAGGATTTAGCTCATAGAAGGAAGTTAGCAAATGAACTCTGCGACGATTTTCCAACCTAGGGCGTCAACCTGAGAAGGGTTGTAGGCGTACTGCTGTAAGTCCTACAGTTCTTCAAAGGGTAGCGCATCAATGAGCAGTCCAATGTGCTTGGTGTATGATCTTGTACATATGTTCATATTGTATATACTGAATTGATATCATCTGTCATCTAGCTGTTGGTAATTCTGTTTGTGTCCGGACGACTTCCACTTGGATCATCAACCTGAGAAGGAATGTAGGCGTACTGCTGTAAGTCCTACAGTTCTTCAAGGGTAGTTTGTCGTGTCAGAATCCACAACATTTGATGTGTTGATTGTACATATGTTTGTGTTAAATAGTTGTGTGAGTTCCAATTGATGTAATTGTTGGTTAATCTTGTTTGTGTCTGGACATTCCACAACTTACAATCGTCAACCTGTGAAGGGTTGTAGGCGTACTGGTGTAAGTCCTGCAATTCTTCAAAGGAATTCCATCAAGACATGATCGGCGAGGTTGTTTGTACTGTTTGTATATACGTGTGGTGTGTCATAGCAATTGGTGTATTTTGGATTCATTGTGTTTACTCGTTGTTTTCGTACCTTGTTGTTATTGCATAATTTTGTTAAAATTTTCGTCGTGATTACTTCTGAAGTTGTGGCCACTCTTCTACATCCGTGAATGAATTGATTGATGTTAAAGACAGCAGATGGGTCGTATACGCCGGGGAGGCTAGGCTATTGCTGAGAATGAAATGCACACGGAGATAATTGTTAGCTGCGGTCCGACACGCCGGGGAGAAAGAGTGTAAACGACTGAGGCTCGCATGCGTCACCGCTACTAGAACTGAGGCAGAATGAGTGACAAGCGATTTCAGTGGTAATTGGTAGTGAGTAGATAAGAGGATGTGCGTAGAGTATCGTGAGGTGGTGCTATGGTCACATTGCATTCTGCAAGAGTCATTCTAGCAAGTGGCGATTGTGTTGCAAGATGTCAAGAGGAGGTCTCTGTCTGGAGGCGCAGGTCGTCATCGATGTGTGAGATTGTGCTGTGGGTATGCTTGTGGTGTGTTGGCTTTTCTGTTTGTTTTCCATTTCAGCTCTGTCCGTGTGACCCAGGTTCTCGCAATGGCATCCAAGTCAACGTGCATTGGTCGTGAAGGAAAAAAGGGTTGGATCCCTTTTTTGCCGGGGAGTGTCAATGGAGTTGAAGATTGAACGATCAATTCTTGGTTGTTTGCTCAAAATCAACTTCCTCGATTTTCGCGGAGGCATCAATACGACAGTCATCGTCTCATCGGTCGCTGTTCAGAAAGAAGAGTGAAACATCGTCAGAAGTAACAATGATTTATTATTGTAATATTAGTTTTCAGACCTTAGTTGCTTAGTTCGTTTATTCCTTTTATATGTTGGTGTAACAATAAAGAAATAACAAGCAGCAGATCGGTGTTTTGGTTTTTGCGTCCGTTATTACTAAGCGTTTCTGAAACTCAAAGGAACAGCGTGGGCCCGAGCGTAGCGAGAGCTGGGCATTAACGGTTTATGAGACTTGGCTGACAGAGCACTATCTTTGGATCACTGGAAGTCTTCACGTAGGTTTGTGGGGTGGTGGTCAGAGTTAGCTGGTCGTTTGAATTGAGCATGTATTGGGAGATACATGCGTGGTAATTGGGTATATCAGTATCCCCCTTCTATGCCGACACAATGTCCGCTAGCTCATGTGTTTTTTCATCTTGACTCTGAGTTGCCTTATGGAATCCCCATGTAAAGTCATTAAACTTAGGGATAAATTCCTTGTCCCAAACAAAATGGCCACGAAGAGCATTATAATTGATCGAACCAAACCGGCCTATTTGGAAGGAGATCCCATGAGACTCTAACTGATTATTCCGATTAATATAGGGCTGTATGAATGCGGGATTTTTCTCGAATAAATAGCTAGCACGGCGATGGCGACCAGACCTCCTTCTGAGAACCAGAAAACGTGTTCTGGACGAGCCGTTAGATTCCCAAGACACCTTTACACACATCTTACGTAGTAGTACTAACATATCACACCCAGTTTTTAGAATATATTTTTAAAATCATCCTATCGCGCCTGCGGCAAATTTTTGAATGCATATAGATCGCTTCTCACTGAACCTCTAATCGTAAATTAAACTATTTTTTGACCACACGTGTCGCTTCCACTTCAAAAATAGTGCTCTTCGATGCCCTTGTTTCGTATCATTTTCCGCATGGTAGATGTATACCATTATTTAAACATCGTTTTGGGAACGTTTTTGTTGACAAGGTTCTAATCAATCTAGTTTTATTTTCCAGGTATGAAGGGCACTGGAGAAGAGGCAAACGAAACAGGAGATCTAAAGGATCAACCCCAACAATGCGGCACACCAATACCAAATTAGCTGAAGTAGACAAACTGTAGGCAATCCAAGATATGCATCGGAAAACTTCTACTAACTTTTCCAACAATGGAGTTTTCCTTTCAGCTGCTTTCGTCTTCGAGTCCTCACAGCTTCACGAGGAGGAGAGTGATCTGTAGCGGGAGGTAATACCCCGGAGTTATTAGCTTAGTGTTCATTACTGAACACTGCGTGCTGACCCCCAAATGTTTCAGTCGACTCGTTTAGGTGAAGGCCCACGGCCAAGCATCCACGCCATTTGGCACAACATCGCGTCACTTTCGGTCGTTGGTGCATCATCCCGGCCAGTTAAGCAGTTGTCCTTGAGCTATGATTTAGTCCCGAAGCAAACTGTGCAATTCAGACAATCAATTTGGTGTTTCGCTTTGTCTTTGGCCTAAGTGGAACGAATTCCGTAGAAGTTGTGGGTATTAGATCTTGCGCAATTAACCATCGTACTATCTGTGAACTTCAACACCCTCAACTTGTAAGCCTCTCTATATTATTCGTCTAGCCATACTGGTCATTTGTTTTTTGATAATTAAATCTTCGGGTTATTTGTCTGTCTTTTGATATCATTGACGATGGAATTGGGTGGTATATACATAAGTAGTATTCTGGGTTCTATGTAGTTGTGTTGTCAATGTAGTTGAAGATTGAACGATCAATTCATGGTTGTTTGCTCAAACCCAACTTCCCTATATTTTCACGGAGACATCGATACATCAGTCATCGTCTCATCGGTCGCTGTTCAGAGGGAGTCAGGCCAAAACTGTCAGAAACCTTAGTTAAAGCTTAATTTTAAAGTTGGCTATATGTTGGTGTTACAATAAAGAATTCTCAAGTAGCCAATCAGTGTTTTGCTTTTGCGTCCGTTATTACTAAACGTTTCTGAGAAACTACAGCGTGAGTCCCAGAGTAGCAAGAGCTGGGCATTGACGGTTTATGAGACGTGGCTGACATGTGTTCTAGCAACGGAAATATTTCCTGACAACTTCAGTGACGTTACTGTGACCTTGACCGATCTATCTGTCTCCCCGGTGAGTCCAAATCGGGAGACTGCATCGAGCGAGAAGGTTTATGGCTTAGAGCGGACTCGTATGTATATTCCTTTGTTGGAAAGAGTTCGAGGCGCGACAGCACGTAAGGCTCTCTTTATGACCAGTTTTTCGTATGAGGAGCGACTTTACGAAGTGGGCTTCTTATCCAATACCCTAGGCCGAGGAACACGTAATTATATTTTTTATTCTAAGAAATGGCTATAAATCCTGACTTCCCTGACTTCTCCTTCCCATCTTATCTGAACATCTCAAGGGATATGGCAAGAGAATACTGGCTTACTCAGCAAGTGACGTACCCTTAGGACTGACTTCCAGAAGGAGTGGTTTATGTGATATTAACCCACTTGTTCAAGAAGGGACTTGACAAGCTCAAATGGTTACCAGAGAAGCCTTCTTTCCTCCCACAAAATGTGGATCCTTCAGCTGCATGTGTATGGTGCCGTTCTCTGACCAGACTTATATTCGTTTCCCCTGCCTCATCCTCCTTTCGTTTCGTTCTCTCAGCCGCTTTCACCAGCTTAGTAATTATATGTCTATCTACGGTTTGTGTTGATGTAAGTGGAAGACAGCCTAGAAAAACGAAATCTGCGAGTCCAAGCAGCGCCACTACGAGAGTACAACCCACTAACTGTTCCAAAAATAATGTGCACCGTCACTCTCTAACAGTGCAGGTGCATTCAGATGACGGTTCCTGGACAGGAAGAAATGCTTATCTTGATTCCTCTATTAGGCACCATCCACAATTGTTACAACCCTCGCCGACCATGCACATGGTCAGGGGTTCGATCGCCTGCCGACGCATACCTGATATCAATGGTCGGCCTTCAGAATTTGAACTACCGATATTCATGCTGAAAATTCCATGCTTGTGCCAAAAATACAATGTGGAATCAAGCTGTATTCAAAAATAAAATAAATAAATAATCCAGCAAATTGCTTAATACGCTTGATTAACCAAGTAGAGCTGCAGCATTCATGAGGGAATAGATTTTAATGAAATACGTTGGAGGTTTCGAATTTTTCTTTAGTAACAAGCAAGTGACGAGAAATCTTGGGGTTTTAAATTCATCAGAATGACATTTTGCATTGGAATCTTAATACTGGCGCGATAATCAAAGGCTTCGGCCTTCAAGGTCACTTTTGGAATACCGAAATATGGAAAAACAGGTATTCAACCTTAAGTTTGCTGGGAAGCAAATGCAAAGATGTGCTTTACGATGTAACAGAGATGAATTGGATGCCAAAAACAAACTGAAGATTGCCATTAAAAAAGGAGACACAGAAGGTGCCAGAATTCATGCAGAAAATGCAATCCGACACAGACACACTGCAACAAGTTATCTTAGACTTGCTGCTCGAATCGATGCCCTTGTTTCCAGAGTTCAGTCTGCCATCACAACGAAGAGCTTTACCAGGAGCATTATGACAGTCGTGGGGTGTATGGAAGATGCAGCAAAATCCATGGATATGGAAAAGGTTAGTAGTCTTATGGATAGATTCGAAATGGAATTCGACAACATAGATATCCAGTCAAAGGTTTGTTTAGTTGCTCATCTCTAATCTGTATTGACAGCTTGTGAGTTCATCTCTAGCAAATACAATGTCTATCTCAACTCCTGAAAACGAAGTTCAGGGACTAATAAACCAAGTAGCAGACGAAGCTGGAATTGAACTCAACCAGGAACTCGACGGAGCGAATCCAAGCTCTGTTTCAGTAGCACCAATTTCAGCAGAAGAAGAAGACGGTCTGACTCAACGTCTAGCCAGACTTCGACATTCATAAAACATGATGTTCTTGTTAAGTTTTACCGCTCATTTGTTATCTTACTTGATTTTTATTTTAACTTGGATACTACTCTACTTTCAAGTCAATAATTTCTTGATTTCTTGAACTGATTTCAAGTTGTAAAAGCTCGCAAACCTAGAAATATACTTCATGGTTTGACAATTATCAACTAAATTTCCTTTGGAATGTACAGAATAATTCTAACTGGATTTGTCTTAAAGTACAGATAAAATTCTTTATCAGTTATTAGGTATACCGCTTACAAAAGGTGATAGTTTGAGACGTATTTATCATATAATATTTATTTCATCGACTTCATTGCTTATATTTTTTTATGAAATGTAGTTTGGGTGATCTTAATTGTACAACGTCATACCTAAATTCAAGCATCAAATACTGCGCAACTGACATCCAATCAACTTCTAAGACTATTCTTTAGAATGTTAGGCAGAATAACAAAAATTTGCGGAGTCCTTTTACCACGAACTGAGAATAAGAAGCAAAGGAATTATGAAACCAGACTTAAAATTTCGTTTTTACATCTATGTGATTGTCGATGATTTATCCGTCGTCTAGTAAATAATGATCATCGTAAGGTCTAGCTTACGAGGTATTATTATTGTTTCCTTTAGTTCCTAGAGGAACATAGGGCTTCAACTGCACGTCTCCATTGCGTTCGGTTCTCTGGCCCGGAGATTGTATAATTGATTGTTGTAGAATAAAGCTGACTGAGTAGGGAATTCTTGGGGTATCTGTGCATAATTTTCGTTTCTTTTTTTAACTGAGATTTAGAATCTTTTGAATTGCGGTTATATAATTTCTAACACAATTGACCTATCGAGTAGTTGATTTATTTAAAAGGACTGGTGGTGTGATGTGTCTGTGTGTGTGTACATACACCCTTAGTTATTTAGACAAGTTCTTACATATTCCAGCTAGAAAGTTAGAAGAAAACTTCAATGGGTCTGTTAGCTTTTAGGTGTATATTATCATAGATCCATGTGTCATTGAATATTTTCCACACGTGTGGTTTTGATCTCGAAACTGAAAGTCCCTCTAACTGTATTTAGTAATTCAACTGCTCTTCTAGGGACTTAATTTTTTGTGCTCGAGAACACCTAGTAGGTGTTGTTAAAACTGTAAACAGTTCTGTTCTCGGTCACCGTGTCCGAACAGGCTATAAAACTAGTCTCTGTCTCTATCATCTATCGGATATGGAATAAATTGCCGAAAACTTCTGGATTCCGAACACTTAAAAAAAAAACTAAAACAGATAGAGGCCATTACAATTGGCTTAAATCAATTCGAGCTCTGTGTGTAAAAGAAAGGTCCATCCATGCAGGCACTATTGATACCCTGGCCTGTTTCGGGAACCTATAAATTCATAAATTCTATCTTACTTCGCTTAATTTATCTGATATTCAATCAGTTTAGTGTTATATTAATGCATAGTATCTCACTTTTTGTGCGTCGGTGGTACAGCAGTAGAATGCTCACCAACCCCTGACCGATAGCTGCTACCTTGACGCTGTGATGGTCGCCGGGCTTGCACATTGCAATAACCCAACAAGCTACACTGGCTGGAACTATTGTACCTGCAGGTCCTACCATGAAAGGTTGTTAGGGCAGCGATTAGACTAAAAGCAGTTACCGGAATAGTGTAATAATCTTTCTTACACTATTCTGGGAGTCTGAGGGCGAAGTCGTACTGCCGGGGATCAGGGATGTAACAGCAGTAAGGTGTTTCCCTTAGATGACCAGCATGCCAGCCATCTGTGCTGTTTTTCCACTCCAGAGAGAGGGGGCTAGAAAAGGTTGACCCCAAAAATTGTACATCCTGACTTACCACATACGGTGGTCCGTAACCGGCGGTAAGTTTACTAATACGGAACCAATCCCAGAAACCAGTTCATACAGGCCGTGTGTGAATGGCCAGTAGCAAGCAGTTGTCCCTGGACTCTGCGGTCACGCAACGCTAACCCTCTTTCCGCTTCAGGTACCCGAAGAATCAGTCAACTTCCACGGTGTGGAGGGCAGCCGGAAAGTAACAACCGCCCACACACACAAGAGAGCTCACCAACCACGTATGTGGTTTGGCGTTCGTTCTCTGCTCACCGACGCACTCCTTTACCTTGCGAAGTCAGTAATAAGACTGGTGAAGAGGGAAGGCTAGGTATGAAGCTAATAACTGCATCCCGTAAAAACAAACTCCACTGTTACCGAAGCCTGAAGCCCTATGTTCCATTGGGAACGTCAAGGAATAGAATAAAAAATTTTAAAATGTCTCTCTTTTTTACATGTGCTTTTGAAATATCATCACCTATCGATACTGTTGGTTTATTGTCATATATAATGGTCATATAAACGTAGAACCTGATGACGAATTTATCGGAAAGAATATTCTTCCATGTGAATGCAGAATTTGAGCACTGTGGTGGTAGAATGTCCCGACCGAAAGCTGCTACCTTGACGTGGTGGTCGGGCTTGAACACCACAATGACCTAATCAAGCTATACTGGCTGAGACTTATATCTCTTGAGGTTCTACCATGCCAGGTAGGTTGTTTGGATAGCGGTTAAACAAAAAGCAGCTACCCCATCCAGTACCATGATTCAAACAAATTCACAAAATATCATGCCGGATCGGCCGTGGCCCGGATTAACAACGACCGCGCTTCCTGCTGCCGTGTCACAGGGCAGGAGTGATAAGTATGCTGCTGAGACACACCAAACAAAAGAGAACAAGCAAAAACAGGCCGCGTGTGACCGGCCTCAAGCAGTTGTCCCCTGGGCTCTGCGGTCACGCAACCAACTTCCACGGTGTGGGCAGCCGGGAAGTAACAAACGCCCTCACAATCCGAAATGCACACAAAACCTCTCTAATCCTCACTTATCTTTGTCTTCATCTCCATTGCCTTGTCTTTCTCCCACTGATACAACTCCTCTACTTGATGGGTCCTCACTCCCTCTTCACTCTGTGTCCACTAAAAACGACAGAAGCCAAAAAACCACCGATCTCTGGCGTAGGCGTGACATCCGGCCATCAACCAAGGGACGTGTGTACTGCTCACCAGTTCGCTCCGTCCTTCTCTATGACTCTGAAACATGGCCAATCGAGTTGAAGACATGAAAAGGTTGACTGCTTTCGATCATAGATGTCTGCGATCTCTGTCTCACGTTAGGTGGTTTAATTAGGTAAGTAATGTTGACGTTAGGCGTAGTGTTGGGCAAAAAGGGAAAATCAATCGACGAGGCTATAAAGTTACATAGACTGAGATGGCTAGGTCACGTGCTGCGCATGCCTAACCATCGCCTCCCTTGACGGGCATTACTAGCTGATATAGGTGTAGGTTGGAAAAGAGCCAGTGGTGACCAAACAAAAACATGGCCTCATCAATCCATGAAATTCTTGACAGTTAAACTGAGACAGGTAGGGAGATGCAGACTTCCAGGTTGGGGCCCTCGGGACTCTAGGAATCAATGGCTGGAGACAATAGGTGACATGGCTCAAAGTGATCGTTGTCAATGGCCAGCGCAGATGTATTCAGTCTCTGTAATCTTTCATATTCCTTTCTACCATTACCCATTCTGTTTCACTCTTATACTTGTCAAACTCTATTGATTCTCTCCACTTATCTTCTTGTCTACTTTTGTGTGCTATTTGGAACGTGGCAACTCGAACTGGTGCACTTCGGTGCCAAGTTCTATGTTGAATCCAGACAGGTGGTAGGATGTAATTCCCCAATATAAGTTTATTTTAAATACTACACAATAGCGATACAGTATTAATAACTGGATGACGATGTTTCGAGCACAAATTACTGTTCATAATCGCATCAGTTTTGTCACACGGTGTCGTCATTTGTTTTCAGTATTTATTTTTCTCTTTCTCCCCTTTTCCCCTTGTCGTTTTTTGCCAGTTTCCACTTCTTTGGTATAGACATTGCGTCATTCGGATTGTGCATGTGCGGTGTTGAATGTCGATAAACAAAGATTCAGTGATGATTAACCTCTCTCTCCTCCTAATTATATTACTTTTTAATGCCCTCCCCCTCCCCCACCCAACCTATTTTGTGATTACATACAAATAAATGCAGTGCAACAGCTGAACTTTTTTCTGGGTTATTTAACTCAGTAGGGTCAATTATTCTAGATATAAGAGTAGAATTTACGCACTGTGTTTGTAGAGTATAATTCCATTGTTCATAAAATTTGTTTTGATAAAGTCTCAGTGTGTTATACAGTAATATTTACTGTTGAAGTTTTGAGCACAATTAATTGCTGCTCATAATCATATCAGGACCTTGATATGCTTATGAACAATCAATTATGCTCGAAACTTCATCAGTAAATATGATATGTCTGTTTCCTAAGATCTTTCACTTATTGTCAAGCTGTTGCTAACCGACTTAGAACCCTTCAGGCATGTATCCAAGTCCTCTCCCCCACCATCTTTTCACCTAGGCAACTCGATAGTATGATCAACCTTTAGACGATAAGCATAGCTGTCAGCCTGGTACTTGAAAAATCGATTGCAGAACAAACATCATAATTGTTTAACTGCTAGACTTTAAACTACAATTAATTCATGGTAGTTTTGCGATACTACTACGATTTTGTGTTCTAAGCCTATTGATTTGGGCGAATTAGAGCTTTAACTTAGAATCGATGGGGTTACAAAGTTATTTGCTTAAGCCTAGGAACCACACATGTGTATTGTAATTCTCTTAGATTCCGAGTGGAATGTAGGAGTCACCCTTGGATTTATACCCGAGATGTTGTTTCTCATTCGAGTTTCACTCGAGGATCTGCCTGGCAATTAGTGATGTCACTCAACAATCTTCACATGATGAGAATTTATCATCAAGTCTGATGTATAGCATCATTACATGATCACTAATTTAATCAGTTATATGCAGGTGATATCAGGTTTTCGGTCAAAGGACGTGCGCTGTGCGCAACACATCTCTCTGTTCTCCTTTATGACTGTGAGAAATA